ATCTACACAAATTTTTAATTAAAGCCATCTCCGAGTGTCAACACAGTGTTGAGTATGAATTGTTTGCAGTTTTCTAAAATAATGTCCTCGATTTCTTGTTGTTGTTGTTGTTGTTTTAGCATATATATATATATATATATTTTTTTTTTTTTTTGATTAATGACGAAAAATTGGTCAGAATGTAAATAACGCATTTTTCATTTGGTCCTCTTCGTTACATGACCAAAAAGATACTCGTATTTGAAATTGCCTGCTTTGCATAAGTGCAGTGCAAATATATTTAATATTCAACATTTTAATTTTCATATAATGAGGTATTTAAAATGCTTGTTTTCCAAAAATTAATTAACTATGAAAGTATTTTAGAAAATATTTTTGTGCTTAATATGCAAAAATTAATTTTGAAATTGTTTTCTGCTTCATGGATATTGATGCAAAAATCCAAAAAAAAAAAAATCATATGAAATTCGGGGGCGGGTTCTAGTCATTCTATTCTATTAAAAATGCAGCGTGCTAACAAAAAATCTTTACGAAAAAAAACTATAATCAAAAAACTATAAATATCTTATAAATAAATTATAAACATGATACGTTATTTCATGCAAGTAGTTTAAGTGAACTAGCTGTAACAAGATAACTAGTAACTAGATAATTTCTTTAAACAAGTTCAAAAATTATAGTAGTTCAAAGTTAAACTATTTTTGTTTGAAAATTTTTTAAAACTTGGAACTTGAGCATTAAAAGTTTGTGCAGGCTTGGCTACTTGTAGAAAAACACTATTAGTCATCGTTTCCAATATGACAGGCATGAGTTCTAAGCCTGGTACTTACAATCCAAATAAATTATATGAAACCCAACGTCGATACGTCGTTTGATTTTGCTGAGGTAACACTCAATTGCGATCCGGATCGTTGCAATAAATTTGTTTTATTGGCTTGTTCGAGAGCAAGTAAAAAGACCCAGTAGAAAGTAAAAACGTTGTTTATTTTCGTATATTTATAATACTAAGTAAAAAAGAATTCTAGTCTATGTTGTTATAATTCTAAGTGGTTACAATAGGTTGTAGCCAATGGCATCAAAATGCCGGTGACATTATGATAATACAAAGATTCTAGCCTATGGCATCAAAGTGCCGGTGGCATTATAAACTACTAGTCTACAAATTTATCTAGCCTATATTATCAGAATAGTACTGGCGTAAAATTTTCCTAGCAATTTAGCGATGATGTAGGTGTTCAATTCAATTATTTCCTAAAACCACTGATGATCAGTATTTGACAATACTCGAAACAGCGTTGTATGGTCAGACAAATTTAAATAAATTAACTAAAAATTTTTGTTGTTGTCTTTTTATTTCTATTCGATCCATTCTAACTTTTAAAAATATTTTTTACGTATTTTGTGAAAAATATTTAAATAAAACATTTTTCGAATTTCTTTCGTTCATCTTTAATAAATTAATATATAACTATTAGCACTAAAATTATTTAAAGTAAAAGAAGTTAAAATTAAATAATTTTTCTTCTACCACGTACTTTTCTTTATAATCGTCTTTTGAAACGACTAAGCCACTGCTTTTTCAAACCCATTTTCAAAACCCATTACTTTCCAATTAACCAAACTATCGTTTTACCGATGTAAAAACTGATGAAACATTGAGAAGTAGAATAAAATGTATTAATCCTCTAATCAAAATTTTCGATATTTTACTTATAACAATTTTGAAGACGCCATATAAGAGTTTTCTAACAAAAACCTGAACTATACAAAAAGAATGGCAACTTCGATTTAAAGACCATATCTATTGTTTTTCTTTTACTTTTTTAAAAATGTTTTTTTCAAGAGTATGATAACATTCGCTGGAAAAACTATAGCAAAATCGATCTATCGTAGCTCTGTTAATTGGGTTTACTTATTAGTATTCATACGATTTAGTATATACCTACAGCAGTTAAGACCAGGAGTCTGAATATTTAATGGAAAGTATGTATATTTAATGAATATATAATGAAAGTACACTTTATGTAATAATTAGTCTATGAATTAAGTAATTTAATAAACCATTTTTGGGATGTTGACGTTTTCTTTAAGCCTTAACTTTGTATCTCGGTTAATACACGAAAATGTACTAACCCTAGACTATACTCCTAGGTACTCCTCTATTGTTCTCGATTTCAAAAAAAACAAATTGCTCGATGTCAATGTAAGGTACTCCTTATTACAAATGTTATAGTAGATTAAAAACATGTTGCGGGCCTCACAAACATAAACCGCATATGGCCCGCGGACCGTACTTTGGAAAGCTTTGGTCTATATCATGCTTAACTACCAAATAATAGAAAACATGAGAGTAAAATTATTATCTGCTTGGATAGTTTAATATTAAAAATTTTCTACGGCACATTTTCATTTAGTGCAGTTAGCTAGCATAATTTTTTTATAATAATTTTTTATGCTATTTGTGTTTTTGTAAGTGCAGTAAGCGTGTACCTTAATATAATTAATTAATTTTGTTTTGTTAATATTAATTAAACCATAACATATACACGTTTCAAATTGTATATATTCAAATGAAATGCAATAATATCTACAGTAAAAAAATTCACCTTGAGATGTCAGCTCTTTCAATGTCTAAACTTACATGATGTATACGGGTATGATATTAAGTATTTTTTCGTTAATTTTTTTTTTTATAGTTTATAGGAAAACCTAAGCTACACATTGCATACTCATACTTTTTAGGTAAAAAAAAATATTATAGGAGGTTCTTCATTTTAACCTTTTCATGTTCATAAAAAAGTTCTTCAAACATAAATCTTGTGTTCTAAGTACCAAAATAAGGGAACTTATAGTATATACAGTATTACTAATTACTAAAATTACTAAATTACTAAAACTAAAGCTACACATGACATACTCATACTTTTTAGGTAAAAAAAAATATTAAAGGAGGTTCTTCATTTTAACCTTTTCATGTTTATAAAAAAGTTCTTCAAACATAAGTCTTGTATTCTAAGTACTAAAATAAGGGAACTTATAGTATATACAGTATTACTAATTTTTGCCAATGCAAATCTAAAGCCAAACACTAAAGTAAAATTTCTTTAAACGTTAACCCTTTTGTTACCACATTTTAATACAATTTTTATTATACACAAATATGTTATTTATAATCTCAAAGTATACAAATTTTATATAAATTTAACTCATATGTTATATTATATATAACTTATATACAATACAACATATTTACTTTTGTTGCAAATTTCATTGATGGGTTAACAGCACACAGCACGTTTCGGTTTTATGATTTGATTATATCTCTACTGATGAATAGATTTTTTAGTTGACCTATATGCGGTCTTCTGGTACTTGCAGTCTAAAAATTATTTACGAATAGTTTTGTATAGGAAATATTACCAAAAAGACTACTGCTAATGGGTATTTGAGAATACTCCAAACAATTGTATTGTCAGCTACAAATTCAATTAAGTAAACATAAAATACAACTTTGTTATTGTAATTCACTCAAAAATCTTTATATTAAAAACAGAACTACAATTATGTAAAAATTAGTTTCAATAACATTTCGTATAAATCCATTAATTTATAGTTCATTATATTAAAACAAACACGTTTTTAGTGCTGTTAAAAAGCAATTAGCACTTAGCATTTAAATAATTGTATTATGTTGACATATATTCATACCAAACGTATTGGTAAGAAACACCTATGCGGCTTAAAACAAATACTCGGCATGGGTTTACAAATTTCTTAAATTGATTTTATGAATATTCACTATTGAACTAACAATAACATCTCTATGAGCTATTATATTAAGTTCGTACTTGATATTAACAGAAAAACTTTCGTTGGTCCATGTATAAGTTCTACTTACATTTGATGTCTAATTTAGCTATCAGAAAAATTTCTGATTATGTAGCTTTTACGGTAAATGTATGTTGTTTAAAAAATTAAAAAATTTATTTGAATTTTTCTATAATATTCACTATAATATTTGATTTTAATTTTTGATGCTGTTAGCTGGCTTTTCGGGCTCTTGTTTATTTTAATATATATACTTATATATATCAATCACTTGCGTAATTGAATTGAAATGGCTTTCTTTTTTAATTAATTAAATTCAATTTATAGCTTAATATCTTTAATATTATCTATAGTATAAAGTTTGGAGGATTTTTGTAAATGTGTATATTGTTTAAAAAACTTAAAAATTTATTTGAATCTTTTTTTTTTGGTGCTGTTAGCTGGCTTTTCAGGTTCTTGTTTATTGAAATGGCCTTTTTTCTAATTAATTAAATTCAATTTATAGCGCTATATATTTAATATTATCTATAGTGTAAGATATGGAGGATTTTTGAAAAATATGTGGTTAAAGTAAATAGTTCATTATTTTGTGACACTGAAGTTTAGAAACTTTTTTATAAATAAATTTTTGGCAAAATGTAATACAATTATAAAAAGAAAACTGGTTCATTTATCTAATGTGAAAAACCTTGTAAAAAGTTCTAAGGTCAATGGCAGGCTATTTATCTTTATGCACAATTTTTGTACTTAAAAAATCGTTAGAATATATTATAATTTAGGCATATGTAGATACTTACTATATAACATTTATAGCGGCTGTTTCGGTTAACGCAATTAACACACCTATTATTTTTTTAGAGAGACATGCATGCTTAATCGTAGGAAAAATAAATTATTTAAAAAATAAAAATTGCATACCTTTTAAGTTAAGGCCGGAGCAAAACGGCAGTTAAACGCAATTTTGCACGCACCTTCAATATTACCGTAAATAAAACAAATTTAATTAAACTATTATTTTAATACATTTTAATTTATTTTAAAAATAATATTATTAAGTTTGTAAACATTCAAAGCGGTTGTAATCATTTTTGAGATCAAAATCACCATCACATATTAAGTATAATTTAATATTAAAACAAAGTAAATAATTTTTATTTTCTTCTTTTTTACAGAGTCATGCGACTTGATCCGATATCAAATGAAGATTTTAGATCTTTAAGCTCAAGATTTTCTGTAAGTTAAATGCAATGGAAACTAATCATATTGGTCATTTCTTAATAAGTGTCTTTCTTTGAACAAAAAAGAGTATAGCATTAGAATCTCTACCGTCCTGGGGAGGATCTGAGAAAACAGACACAAGACTGCCAATTACCGACTACTCAACACTTGGTGGCCCACGTCACAATCGTAGTCCATTCCCTCTTGCAAAAGACATAAACAATCGATTCGTGATTTGGTAAATATTGGAAAACACAAATTAAAATATTTTTTTTTTATATGTATATATTGTAGATAAATTTATGATAAATAA